TACAGCTGAATGAAGGTAAGACTGAGATACTCATCTGTGCCCCAGACAAGCTGGTTCCCAAAGTCAGATACTCTCTTGGTCAGCTTGCTTCTCACACCAAACCCTCTGTCAGGAATCTTGGTGTGAATCTTGGTATGACCATCTACAGGTGGATCAGAATGCCTGTGCTCAGCTTCTGACCAAGTCCTCCAAACTCACCTACATCACCCTGCTTCTCCTCCAGCTTCATTGGCTGCCAGTCAACTTCAGGGTTCACTTCAAGATCCTGGTTCTGGTCTATAGGGCCTTACATGGACAAGCACCATCTTACATTGGTGATCTTCTCAGTCCTTACACTCCCAGCAGGTTAATTTCTATAATTATAAATTCTTACAATCTACCAGGACTATCTCAATGGTGAATGCATATGGATCTGAAAGTTATCGTGTTGGTGTGTGTGTGTGGGTTCAGGATCTCTAGGCTGACGTAGCGAATCTGGTTGTTATGACTAGGCTACCACAAGGCTTCAGAAGCTGATGACATGAGCGCCATTTTGCCGTAACTACGTACCATGTGGAGCCTCCCGTGTAGATCAGGAATTGCCAGGCCCCTGGACCTTCAGGTGTACTGGAGCTGGTGAAACAGCGGTCGCAGCACTACAAAGCCCGTCTGAGGGTCGACTCCGGTAGCAGCGGCAGGCGTCAGCGAGTTCAACTCTTATTTTGAAGGGACGTCGTCTTGTTGTTCAAACGACGGAAATCTCCAGCTTGACAGTTCTTAGCTTAAAGTAGAAAGTGCATCTGGCCAGGCTGCACCTCTCTTTTGCGGTGATGGATCGAAAGCTGGTTGAAAACTATGTTGAGACTATGATGTAACTCCTTTGGAGCTCAGATCGAACAAAGCTGAGGTTAAAATGGAACTAACTATAAAATGGCGTTGCCTTGTTTTATATCCCCTAGTTGTTTACAAATCTTAGTAAACCGGATTGCACAACTTCATTAAACAACCCAGATTCGCTCTACGACAGACGAAAGTTCTGATTGGTTGAGAACAATGTGTCATGCGTTTCCATGTTAATGTAGATCAGTCTGTCTGGTGCAGTCCTGTTTATTCATTAAACACATAACTCATGACATCTTTATTTCACAGATCATTCACCTGATTATTATTGATCAACTCATACTTTGATTAGCTTTATTACGAATAAAGTACTTTGATTAATTAATGGAAAGCATTCTTCTTCTCTTCTTCTGTCTCTTCTCCTGGAATGTAAACATACTGAAACCAGCATCCGACCTTGGCGATTCCTACACGTTGTTACTGTATGAAGGGGCAGCTGTTAAGGGCAGACAATAGGATCTTAATAACGCTACAATGCATTTCATCCTAATAGATCTAAACTCCGATCTTGATTTGTGCTTGCTGAGTGATGATGATGATGATGATGATGATGTTACCTTCAACCAGCTGCTCTTCATCCATACCGTGTCAGTGGAAATCTCTCCAGGTGGGTTAAGTTTTAATATTTGAAACAGGACAAATGCCAGAAAAAAAATGTCCCCAGGAATCTGAACTCATCGTGCTTGTTCACTCCTTCAGTTTGACCTTGTTATACATTCATTTCTCAACTTTACTCATTCTCTATTTTTTTTATTGCAGACTACAGAGTGTAAACACCTGCAAATCACCCACATGTTTGAGTATTAAACTATATTGTTGCTCAATTAGGGCTGCAGACTCAAGGTCTTTCTAGTGCACTGAGTAAAGCCCAAGACACACTGTGCCGGCAAATCAGCGTATTGCCGCAACATTGTGTTTTACAAACGCGCCATACAAAATTTGTAGCATTCGTTTGGCCTAACTTGGTAGTATTATTGCAGTAATTGTCCTATAAATGGTGATAGCGCCTTGGCGCAACAGAGGGAGGCGTCATGGTCATGTGGGGAGCTACTGCCGAGCTCCGTCCGGCAACTTTATTGAAACTGAAAGTAAGTTTAGCTTTTGTAAACAGAATCAGCTGAGATGATAAACTGGAGTGCAGCAGCGCTCCTGGAGCTTCTCTCCGTTAGAGCTGGAGCTCAGATCACCGGTGACTGCACGGGGACTGTAGGGTACACACATCTTTAGGAGCGGCTTGTTAAAAAAACTTGGAGCGCAGCTTTGATCACAATAAAAAGCAAGTTATGTCCAAGATAAACAGAAGTTCGCGGCAGCGCAGAGAACACACCCGTACCCACTTTTATAACGCCATCACGTAATATTTTGTAAAACAGACACAAATGCGCCACATTACCGCCACGGTCTGACCACCTATAAACGACCTAAGGCTCACTGATGCCGCTTCAGCGTTGCAGCAAACTGACTGTATTGTTTTGTAAAAACGGCTTAAGTTTCAGTCTTGATCCTTTTCTATCAGTAGGAAACACCAATGACGGACGGACAGATTTACATTTGAAAGTTGCAGTTTTTTCTCAATAAATTAGCAGTATAGTCTCTAGTAGGGATAAATGTCTTGCGAGTTGTTTTCTGGAGAAAGAAAAAAAAAGTTCTGCTGTTTCAGGAAGTAGAAGCTAACCAGTGAGGGACAGAAAATGGCAGGGTTTGGAGTCTCACTCATTAGTGTTCATAAGATTGGGACATCTCACCTCTAATTTGCTAACAGCAACGCAAATCTTCCACTGTCCCCGTTTGCTTTTCTTTCTTGTGTAAAACAAAGTAACATTGATGTTTTATCTAAACATATAACATGTGTTCTGCCATGTTGTGGAGTTGCTATGCTAATGTTAGCTTCTCATCAAGACGCTCTCTGCTGTCTTCTCAGTGCAAAATCAACACAGCCTTCCGCGGTCGCAACCCCAGTGGGTGAGGCCATGAGTGCAGATTTGATAGAGCTGTGTGTCTTTTTCTCCTGCGGCTAATGCAGGAAGTAGGGGTAGAAGACAATGTTTACGTTGAGCATGCATGTGCAACTTAAAGTGACTGATAACATTTTAAAAAGAACAAGTTTTATACGTTTTCCCAGTGAACCTGAATCATAAAGATGTTTAGAGATAAACACAGATGTGTCTCTATCCAGTGTAAGGTGCAGTTTAAATCCTGCTCCCTCATAGAAACCACACCTCTAGTCTGACCCACAGGAACTAAAGATTTCTCATTTGGCCGGTAGCATTTAAGAAGGGTTTAACCTCATGAAACCCCGTGTCCAGGTGTGTGGGGGGTGGTTTCTAGCAATAGAATACTTTTTCTGTTTATTTTTTTCTGCACGTTCTTTCAACACAACGACTTCCTGTTTCTACAGACTTTGCTCGTGATCTCACCTGAGACGTAATCCTTTCTGTAGATAGCTAAGCATTTCAAACATCCTTTCAGCAGAGTGACTTTCAAATGAACCCGTCCCACTCTGTCAACATCACACCAATGACTGCAAAACAACTTTTTCATTTAATCATTTCACAATAAAAACACACACTGTTTGCTGCATCACAAAATGAGAAAACGCTGTCCTGCAGTAACAACCAAAGCCAAAGTCGAGAAGGGAACCAGCCAGCGCTGTTGCCGCCAGGAGATGAGGCACATTCATCTCACGTCCCCGCTGGTCGGTGAAGGACTGCGTTCATCAGAAGCAACAACATGAGAGTACACAGAGACAGCAGGTTGAGCCACAGATGGGAAATCATAATCTAAACAGTCTCACGAAGCACTTGAATTCATTCCTACCTACGGTGTACATCACCATGATGACAAAGGCCATGCTAGGATGATCATGGACCAGAAACAGAAAATTCAGACACTAACATTTCTAAAACAGTCATACAGAAGCTTTTGGTGTCGAGCCATAAACCTACCTCCTTCAGTTTTAACATGACATTCAACTAAATCCAAAATGCTACGGACTGTTACATGATGCACCAAAAACGGCAGACTGAGCAACGCTAATTAAAACATGTGTAGTCAGTTCTGGACTTGCTCTCTTTTTTGTACCCGTTTTAAGTGGAAAAAATATTTACAGCATTAAGCAAACTAAACGATACTAAACACCCCGGCCGGCTCCTTGTGAGGCCTCTGCAGTCGCTTTAGAATCATTAGAATTAAAACGGTCAACCTGGGATGTTCCGGGAGGGGGGCAGAAATAAAATACTTAAAAAACAGTAACAGCCACTCAAAATACCACCCTGACATTCTCCTGATGGACTGACGGATTATCAAAACCGCGGTTGTGTACAGAACTCGTTGTTTGTAAATAAATTCAGACTCTCTCTCAATTAGCTGAGTGCCCTGCTGAGGTGCGGCAGTCACAAGTCGGTAATTTACTCATATAAATTAACAGTAAGGGTCTGAGACTCCCTCAGTGAGGCCTGTAAATAACAGCTTAGCACCACAGGAGTCACGGTGCGAAATGGCCTTCTTGTTAACGATTAACCTAGAAATGGCACAAGGAAAAAAGAAAATCACAATAATTATCTCTCATGATGGCGTGATTTCAAACAGCCATCTGACCAATCTGTACATTCAACAGCCGATAGGACCTTTTGTCTCAGGCCGTCCCGCAGATAGAAAGACGAATGGCACACACGTACAGTAAAGCAACGCTGCAGTCCAGCATCAGCAAAGAGAGCGAAATAGAGCGACGCATGCAGTTTGGAGACTGGTTTTGTACAGCTAGTTTGGCAGTGAGCGACACATGAGTGAGTTATTTTTACATAATTATTCTGCACAGGTATGAGACTTCCTGATGGGCAGCTGTCCCACCCAGTCTATAATATTCTTTGTGCATATTTGTAGAGACGTCTGCGAAGACCCGGCACAGCAGAGGCCGCCCTCCCTCGACAGTACGGAGCAGGGTGACGGAGAATGCTGATTAATCCATCTGACAGCTCTTTAATCCCCATTAGTGCCTCAGACAGAGGAGTGTGACAGAGCACAGCATTGTCCCCGGAACAACCCTGCTCCTGCCCTCCAATGTTCAGGGTCTCCAGGATGCTGTAACAAACGATGTGTAGCTCAGCTTGGTGTAGGCAGCTGCTGGATGGGGGAGGCAAGGGAGCAGGTAGGCTTCAGCAGGCAATTTCCTCCAGGGTGCCCAAAGTCGTCTGAAGGGGGACTGTCACGGTGTGGCTGATGGACTCTGAGTGGTTCGCCACCGGGTCACAGGAACTCTGGAAGCAGATTTATATAAAAGACCTTTAAAGGCATCTGTACATACTGTAAAAGCAGGAGCACTTTATGTATGAAGACATCAAAGTTTAGACGGCGCCATTCAATGATTCTGTTACGGCGCATAAGAAAACGTTACTCTTTAAGCTAAACTAGCATAAAACATGCTAGTTTGTGTATTTTGAAGCTAAAAAAAAGTTCAAGAAAACTTTATAAAAGTCCAAAAATCTCCAAGGTCTCAAACTTCAACTCATTTTTCAGAACTACTAAGTCACGGTGCTGCACATTTACTTAATTATAAATGAAAATTGTTTTACTTTGAGATGCAGCCAGTGACTTTTTACTGAAAGAAAATATTCAGTTAACCAAATTTATCACATAAAACATAATAAATATAATTCTCATTCTCCATTAAAACCTCTGTTCCTCTGCTTCTGAATTTAATAGAAGATTTAAAAAGACACTGAATGAGAGGTTCAACTGAGAGTATTGATCTGATGTCATCATCGTTAGCATTTATAAAACATGAACAGGTAATATACACTAAAACCTCTAGTCTAGATGTGGTCAGGTTGTACTTGGAAATGAATCTGTCATTGCTGGTTTCATGGAAATGAAATAAAATATTCTGGAGAAGGAAGTTATTAGAAATGTAAAAAATCCAAATGCAACCTTATAAAATATGAGCTTAAATTAGTGGGGTTTTTTCCCCCTGTGACCATGGAAACTCTCTTTGGCTCTGGATTAGGGTCCTCATTATGTTTTGAAATTATTTAGTGACTGGTGTGCAGGTTTTACACAAATAATCATGTTTTCTTCATTTACAGTGTAATTCTACATCTGCACATCTGTTTAAGTTCCAGTGTGTTGCACCTGCTTGATTATTGTAAATCTTGGCAGTGAATCCATCATCCTTTCACACACTGGTGATGAGCTACATCGTAGCCACAGCTGGCCTGCGACACACTGACAGAGATGAGTGGTTTGTAACTGACTGTGATTAATGTTTGGGCAAATTACAAATAAACAGACATATTTAATATCAAGGATCGGGATGGGACACCAGAGTGAGACTGCTGAAGAGGGAATGTGGCGTGCCGGTTGAAACCCAAAGTGCTAGCGTCAGGTGAAAACGGACTGGCACTTTTTTCTCGTAACCCCTGGTTGGATGTCGATGGAAACGGTAAAGCAAGGAGTTACAGACGAGGTGGTGAAACTTCTGAATGATATTCCAGTTTTTGGCGTTTCACCTGTATGTCCCGCGGTATCTGTCTGTGCGTAAAACATTCAGCAAAAGCACTGTAGCCCAGCGATATTCTAGCTCATCTTTTAAAAGATGCTCATCCAATGCAACTCGTATCAGTTTCATGAAACTCCTTGTACAAAGCTAAGTGGCAGCTCATCTGGACCGTTTGGTGAAGGTGTAAGAATATGGTTTAAATGTGTAGTCAGAGTAAGATTTCATCTGAATTTACAAGTTAAATTTAAAGAGTAAGTAACGTCTAAATTAATTTTTTTTTTTGCTGATGAACTGTATAAATGAGTGTCTAATAGTGTTTTAAATGTTTGTATTCATTATTTTAGCATTTTGGTGCATTTTCTTTAAAAATAAAAAATTCTGCCTAAATACCACAATAGCTTAAAACATAGAGTTTGAGTAATTTTGAATACACTTTAGCCAATGGCTAAAGAGTAAGATACTACGTAAACCAGTAGAGTACTACGTAGCAGCTCTGTGTCAAAGTTATAAAAGCATCGAGAGTCTCGGCCACGCCTTGTGGCGAGTTGGGAGTTGGATTTGCAAGCGAGTGTAGGACGGTTAGCGATAGTTCAGCATTACCATGTAGCATTAGCATATCCTAATCTTTAGCATAGCTTTTGTGTTATACATACTTATTTAGTGTTAGCTTGGCTGTTAGATATTTTAGTTTAGTTAGTGTTTAGCTGTTAGTATTATTAGGAAAGTAGTTCGGGTTTAGTGCTCCTTATCGTGTTAGTATGGTGAGAAGGTGTAGTGTAGTGGGTTCGGTTTCTCTGTGGGGTTGCACTCCTTTCCACTGGACTTAGAAATTAGGCGCCAGTGATTGCGCGCTATCGGTGTCTGGAAAACAGTCAGCTCCCGCCTGGTGCTGTAGTTTGCAACCAGCATTTTAACCGCGATTCCTTCGCCAACATGATGGAGTTTGAACTGGGTTATTCTGCACGTCTCCGTTTGAAGAGGGAGGCTGTGCCCACCGTGGCTCTCCCGCGATTTAGATGCAGCCCACCGACTCTGCTCCCCCACCATGGCGGGCTCCAGTCTGAGGTGAGTACGCTAAATAAAAGTTTTAACATCTTCTAAAGACAATTCCCTACCTAAATGTAAAGTTTGAGAGACGTGGTTCACTCCATTTAGCTAATATCAGTCTACACTGCCTCGCTCGGTGAGTTGACGGGTGCTTCAAGTTAGAGTCGCTCAACCTAGTTTTTTTTGCAAACCTCCATTAGTTTTGCTTATCATGTAGCAGCAACGGTAGAGTCAGAACCTAATAGTTCCGCATTCTGCACCACCTCTATTCCGATTGTTTTGTTTGGGTGTGACGAGACGTGTGACACGGCCAAGATGGCGGTGATGGAACTGCTCATTTAGCTTCAAATTGGCCCCACAACAAAGTGCAGTTTGCATCCATTCAGAAGTGCCAGCAGCTTTGAGTCATTGGTCGAGACGTTCTCTGCTGTTTTCTGAACACTAAACAGTCTGGACTCAAGATGGATGAGTTCATGAATGCTAATTTACAGTGTGACGTAGATTTGAGTGGCTTTTTTTATTTCAAGAGTTTTCCCGTCTGTTTTCTATCAGCAGCTAATGCAGGAATTAGGGTTATACTATTTTTATGTTTAGTCTGCAGGTTAAACTAAGAGTTATCGATGATATTTTAAAAATGAACAAGTAAAACATTTTTTTCTCATTAAACCAGCTCTTTAAAGGTGTGGAACACTGAAAAACAGTTTTTTAAATGAATATTTCTGATTATAGGGTCACTGTGTTTTCATGCAGGCTGAACATGAAAATAGTCTCCTACACCTATCTCCTGCATTAGCTTCTGATAGAGAATAGAGTGTTGGTTTAGCGTCCAGGAAACAGCAGAGAACCACTCAACTTGTAATAGCTAACTATTAGCATTAGCGACTTCACCACACAGCAGAACTCCTCCTAGCTTTTGTTGTTTGTGGAGATGAAACATCAGCGTTGCAGAGTAAACAGAGTCAGTGGTAGAGTCGCGTTGCTGTTAGCCAGTCAGAGGCAAGATGTCCAAATACCAGGAAATAAAACTCCAACACTTGCCTCCTGACGTTCAGCTGTGATGCGGCTCATTGCTAGTTCCTGGAAATAGATCACCGGTGTTTCTTGCCCCTCGAGTACGGCTTACAAGGCATTCATTCCTATTAGAGACCACTGCAAATGTATTGATTACACGAGTGAACCACACCTTTAAAGTTTTCAGTTTTATTTATCTATTTAACCTTTATTTACCCAGATGAGTCCATTGAGGACTCATTCTCATTTACAACGACGATCTGGTCAAGAGGCAGCAGCAACAGACACAATGTTAGCTTTACTAGGTTTTCTTTCACGAGACGACTTAAGAACTAAAAAGCAGCTCTCACCACGTCCTCTGCGTGACTCTCATCCTCCTCCTCTCTGCTCAAGAGGTCCAATAGTCTGTCCTTCACCACCTGCAGATTAAACAAATCAGTCGTAAACTGAGGAACGGTCCAACATGTGTTGTTCTTGTAATTACTGTGAGTGAAGGAACAACGTACTGCAAGATAAAAATGTACTTGAAGGTTTGAGCAACAAACTGGCCTCTCCCATGAATCACTGATCAGCTCTAAAAGGCTGCTTAGGAAGTGATTTGGTCGGCAGCTTTAAAGTTTGTTACTCCATCACTCCATTATATTCATTAAGAGAAAAACAGTAGAAAATTTCCTCAGCCCTCTGAAACCTGAACAAAAGCGAAGACTATTACGTGCTGATGAGGAACATGTGGAGCCCAAAGCGGCTCTTTAAAATCAAGAATTCAGTTTGAGAAAAGATAAATGGAAAAGCGCCATCACAAGGTATTTGGTCTCAGCCCTTATCCACTTTTAGCATCAGTGACATTGTTTATTTTGTTCTGCTGGTTCTAGTTGTTGAAGGGCAACACTATAAAAAATCTGCAGCTGGGCTAAGTTTCCTGGAATATCTGCAAAAACTGCCAGTTCACAGTTACCAGGAAACTGTTCCCGGTTTCCGGAAACACATTCAGGGGAAAACTGATACATGCAAAAGAGCAACAACTGGTGTTCATACCGACCTCGTAAGCATAGTCGAACAGCTCTAAGATGGTGAGGATGCTAGCTCCGATGAACAAACCCATCTGTCCTCCAATATCACCTGCAACAACAGAAAAGTAAAGAAACAACAAATAAAGAAGGAGAAGGTCCTGTTCTGGATGAGCCTTTTATTTCAGCGCTGAAGAAAGCTCTGCTTCTGATCTACAAGCAAGCTCTGGTTTTGTATGATGGCATGATGGGCAGAAAGTGGAAGAAACACTTTCAGTCAAAAGCAACTTAGAGCTGGAACCTGCAGGAGGCATGTTGTCTTGGGAAAGACACGATGTGAAGCAAGTAGTCTGGCTGCAGCTGGATCAAGAGTTTGTTTGTTTACAAAACAGCAAACCACCGGAGTGTGTAGCTCGGGAGACTCCAGCTTTGTTTATGGCGGATCTACTTTCATCTTCAGTGAAGAATAAAATAAAAAAGCAAATATGAACCAAAACATCCACATTATATGACGTGTGTGAATTACACATTTAATATTTGGCAACTTGAAAAAAGATTGCACAAGATGGCTGGCTTTAAAAAAACAACATTATATGTTTATTTTCCTATAATTAACTCGTTCACTGCCATTGACAACTAAAGTCGTCATTTTAGATCAACCGTTCACTGCCAGTGACGACTAAAGTCGTCATTTGCATTTTTTTACTGTTTGAGCATCGGAACGAGCCCCCGCGCTGATAGAACAAACATCTCAGCCCTGATGCCAATCTTCATCCGCATACGTCACAGATCACATGATCAGGAAGCAACACATCCATGTGTTTGGAGATCGCTTTGGGCCGTTCCTATAAAAAAAGTGAGGCGCGAACCGGAAAAGCATCTGCCGATCACAATTCGACAACGGATTATGAAAGAATGGATAACGCTCGAAACACACGGACTCTTCCTGATGTAAGAGGTGAGTCTCCGCTTTGTTTTGGTTGTTTTGGCATCGACATCATGCTAGCGCGCAACGTTCTGTGACGCTTAAAAAAACAGTGAGAAACTCTGGCAGCGAAGGCCGTTAGTGATCAGGAAACGGCTGGCAGTGAATGAGTTAAGTATATAAATAATTTTTTCACTTGTAGCATTTGTCCCTATGACTGAGATGAACACAACCTTTTGGCTGTCACTGAAAATGGTCTGTTCTGCTCTGATAGGCTAGAAGAGTTGCACCCAAACCCCCAAAACAGCAATGTGACCCCAGACACGTCAGATTTGACAGTACAAACATGCCCAAAGGGCTAAATAATTCAGCTCATATTCACTTTTATGCATTTATGACGATCTTTTTGAGTTTTAGTTACAATTATGCTGTAAATATAGCTTCGGCAACAGTTTTTCAATTTTGTTTCAGTCTCTAGAAATCATCTCAAGATGCAGTTCTTGGTGACCCACAGTGGCGTGCCAGTCCTCACCTTGGGAAGCACTGGGATACAAGACTGGGATAAAATGAATGGTCCCAGCTGCTTACTGGTTTGCTGCTGCAAATGTACGTAAAGATATTTTCTTGCACTTAAATAACTTTAATGAGTGTTTGTTGAAGATCTGATGTGACGACTTTAAATGATCGATGCCAGAGTTCCATCTCCATTAAAAACCAGCTATCTATGATTAACAGCGTTCAGGCTAACGTACCCAGTAAACCCGCCACCTCGTAGGCTTTTTTCTGCTCGATGGTCTCGTAGTTCAGAGCTTCAAAGAACACATCCAGCACCAAGATGTTGTCTCTGCAAACGGAAGAAAAAAACAAGGCAGGTTTGTTGTAATGAATCCCACACTAGGTAATCAGTTGGCAGGAAACACAATCTGCAACAGCCTCTAAGTGTGTGGGTGGTGAGGATGGATGTAGCTGCCGCTTGTTGCAGCCATGAAAGCCTCCAGACATCCCCAACCATTACTGAGGCACTAAAAGAACATCAGGTACAGCGAGGAGGGTCTGTTTGTTCTGGTGTCTCAGATAAATATTATTAGCATCCATGTTTGAGTCGTCATTGAGAAACTGACTTAATCACTTGAGCATGCATGCTACCAGCCTAAAACAGAACCTTCTTTTAAAAATAGAAAAAAATACTTTTTTTTTTTGCAAAGCAAAATAGTAACGGGTTAAAAAGTGTCCTCACTAACTTCAAACTCCATATTTTCACCTTTTAACGAGTTAATTGAATTTGTTAAGGAATAAACACAAACAAAGCTCAGCTGAACACTCCTGTCTGCTGTCTAAATCTGATTCACTCAAACATTATGTCCGAGCTTCAGATTCACCTTTAATCACAGCCTAAAACAAGACAGTAGTTAAAAGCTTAGATTTGATCAGTAACACAAAAACAACAGAGGACTGAATGTCCTTTATTGTTGGGTAAACTCCGTTCCATAACCCACTCAGCTGTTTGGTCCTCGATGGGATGAAATAAGGTTCATCCATTTCCTTTTGCTTATCTGGAGTCGGGTTGCAGAGGCAGTAGTCTAAGCAGATAGGGCCAGATCTCCCTCTCCCCAGCCACTTGGGCCAGCTCCTCCGGGGGAATCCCAAAGCGTTCCCTGGCCAGGTGAGAGGCATAGTCCCTCCAACGTGTCCTTGGTCTTCCTTTAGGTCTCCTCCCAGTTGTACGTGCCTGAAAAACCTTACCAGGAACACGTCCAGGAGGCATCCTAATCATATTCCTGAGCCATCCATCTGGCTCCTTTGAATTTGGATGAGCAGCGGGTCTACTCCGAGCCCCTCCCGGATGACCAAGCTTCTCACCCTATCTCTAAGGGAGAGCCCAGCCACTCTTCAGAGAAAACTCATTTCGGCCGCTTGTATCCGTGATCTCGTTCTTTCGGTCACTACCAAAAGCTCATGACCATAGGTGAGGGTAGGAACGTAGATCGACGGGTAAATCGAGAGCTTCACCTTCTGACTCAGCTCTCTCTTCACCACGACCGATCGGTACAATGCCCGCATCACTGCAGACGCAGCACCAATCCACCTATCGATCTCATGCTCCAGTTTTCCCTCACTCGTGAACAAGACCCCGAGATACTTAAACTCCTCCACTTGAGGCAGGACCTCATCCCTGACCCGGAGAAGGCATTCTACCCTTTTCCGAATCAACACCATGGTCTCGGATTTAGAGGAGCTGATTCTTGAAGAAAGAATGTAAATAATCAAATTGCTGACAAACTTCTGCACACATGGGAAATGTTATTTATGGCCTCTAGCATTCCTTTTGTTAGATTTATTTAAAACAAAGTAAAAGCTAGGCAGGTACAGTGATCCTGCTCAGACACCAAAACCCCTCAGTAAGATACCTGTTAGGCAGCATAATGTTTGTTTTGATTTCTCCTCAGAGATTTGCCCGACTGCAGGTTCATCTAAAGTTCATGTTTGTTTCCTACTGAATAGAATCTGGACAAGCATACAATGGGTCAATAAGGGGAATATAACAAAATATCTGTGTGTAATTCTTCATTTCTGCTATTGGAGAAAACAAGAACTAAGACTGATGATTGTATCTACTCACGTGATGTATTTCTCTGACTTGTTGAACTTCTTCTGCAGGTAGCGTGCAGATGTTTTGCTGGGGATTTTGACCATGGACAGCTCTTTGTTGTATCGGGTCATGTTGCACGGTGTCCTGCACATGCAGTTGCTGCTCTCCACGGCCGACAGCTTAGCTGCAACATGTGAACGTTAATGAGGAGGCAGGGGAGCAGACGTTCAGGATGAGAAAGAAAATGTAGAAAAGATGAGGTGATGAAAACACAGAAAATTGTTGACACAAAGTGAGCTTTTTATTTCCTCCATGGCAATAGTTTTGACACAAACACACACCTGTAAAAACTGGTTTGTGTAACGTTACACCAGGATGTGAAATTATCATAAAAATTATCCTCATAAGGTTCAGATTTTATTAAGGCCATCCTCCCCATATATCAAATACCTTGTAGTTTGGACAAATATATGGACACTTTGCCCAAAAAAACAATGAAAAACACTTTTTAAAAAATGGGGAAAAGGAGACATTTGCACATTTGAGTATATTTATCAATTACGCCTTCTAACTGGGAAGTCATTCTGCTGGTAGATTACACTTTAGTCCCTGTTCCTTATTAAAGCATGAGCTGAACAGAGATAATAATTTAATTAATTTAAAACAACCTAAAACAACAAAACCGGCAAAGCCCCTGAAAGTATTGGTGCTTGAAAAAATAACTTGACATTTCCATACATTGATATTACCGGAAATTTCGTATACGTCTTTCTTACACGACTTTTATGCCCGGTCCAAAAAAGTCGCCACCAAACAAAAAGGTCACACTGTAAGATATTTTAAACCACCTTTGGCTTTGATTACATCACACATTTGCTGTGGCATTGTTTCAGCGAGCTTCTGCAACATCACCAGATTTATTTCCATCCAGTGTTGCATTCACGTTTCACCAAGATCTTGCATTGATGATGGTAGAGTCTGACCACTGCACAAAGCCTCCTCCAGCACATCCCAAAGATTCTCAATGGGATTCAGGTCTGGACTCTGTGGTGGCCGATCCATGTGTGAAAACGATGTCTCGTGCTCCCTGAAACACTCTTTCATTATTTGAGCCCAATGAATCCAGGCACTGTCATCTTGGAATATTATTCTTAGAGCACATCCTGTTGTTGAACCTAGACCTGAAAGCAACTCCAGATCATAGCACTTCCCCCACAGGTTTGTACAGTAGGCACTAGGCATGATGGGTGCATCACTTCATCTGCCTCTCTTCTTACCCTGATGCACCATGACTCTGGATCAGGGTCCATCTGGACTCATCGGACCAGTTTTTATCAAAGCGTTGGACAGTTCTAAACCCAGTTTTAGTTGTTTCTACAATCTCCCTAGATGTTTTCTCTGCTTGACGCCAACGATCTGACCCTTCTCACACAGACTAACATCTTTTCCATGACCACCAGATGTGTCTTTCCACATGGTTGGTTAAGAAATCAGAAGAAGCTCATTGCACCAGTTGGGGTTAAATAATTTGTTGCCAGCTGAAAGAAAATTGCCTGTGCAGTAATTATCCAATAAGAGGCTTCTCCCTATTTGCTTAGTTAAATCTAGGTGGCAACTTTATTTTGGGGTGGCTGGGCAGTGTATTATACCTATAAGAGCCCCTTTGTTGTGCTGGTTTTCTTGGTGTGGATATAAAAGGGTTAACGACATATTAATAAAGCATTGTGTGAGAATGCAACAAGCCATTAATAACAGAGTTTTTGTAAAGTTTTATACTTTAAAATTTCACGCTGCAAAACATTCAAATCTCCCACATTTTAAATGCAAAGAATTGATAAATAAATAAAACCAAATAAACAGTTTTTCCTTAACTTTTGTAGATTGTTTTATTTCACATTAAATAAAATCCTCTTGTGACCAATGACAACACCAATAAATTGGGGTGTGTCCGAATCCACGGGAAGGATGCTTGTAAGAGTGCATTTTGAGGTCGATGACGTCACAGCGCAGCGAGGAGTACTGTCCGGATTGCAAGAATACTCATTCTCGCGTCCTCAAATGCGTCCTCGCTCCCAGTGTTGCCAACTGTTTTTGACTGAAAGTAGCTGAAGTTCCCCCCAAAAGTCACTAGATGTCGCCAGATGACGTCACGTGCTTATTTACATATTGATGACGTCATCACACCACATTAGCGTTCGTTTTCCCTATGGCATCTAATATATATATATATATATATATATATATATATATATATATATATATATATATATATATATATATATAACTTCTCTGTTGTGTATTCTCTCCATCGTGATAATAACGGCGCTCCGAGCAAAAGGGAGCGGGTGTCTCATAGTATAACCATCCCTGTGTCACTGAAGGAAATTCAGATGAGCCACAGAGCTGCGTGTGTAAACGGGACGGTAGTTGAAACTCCCGATGACTTTATTTGCCAAATGCAGGAAAAACCAAAGTGTCTGACGGCTGCAGAACCAGAGATGGCAGGTTGACGCCCGCGCCGTCTCTAGTAGAAGCGTGAGCCTGCAGCAATATGAAAGCAGCAGACGTAAATCGGCGGTCTCCAGCTCTGCAGCTTCAGCGAATCAGACCGGCCGAAAACGGTTTATGATTGGTCAGTCCTCGTGCACATGCGCAGATTATCGTTCTCTTTTCTTACTCCCGGAAGAACGGTTCAGAGTGCAAACGGTTTCTTTGTTGCTAATCTGTAGGGAATATCTACATGAAAGTTCTACAGAAAGTAGCAACGGGTCCTGAGAAATGTCGCTAAGTTTGTCGCTAGGCGCTTTTTGGAAAAAAAGTCGTTGAGGGGGGTCAAAAATGTCGTTAGGAACAGTGACAAAGTCGCCGAGTTGGCAACACTGATTCCTGCTCGATTTTCGCTAGCTTTAGCATTTTTCCTTTAGCTGCCGCCACGGCTATGACGGGACCTACGGGCCACCGTAGAGGTGAAGGCTAGACTGTCCGAATTCAGAGCGGCTGACTTCCGGTTTTAGCGATCTTCAAGGACCCGGCCTTGCTGGACCGGCGAGGACCCGTACTCATAAGCATCCTTCCCGTGGATTCGGACACACCCTGTATCTAATTGGATTGCAATAATTTTATTCTTTCATTCTATTTTGTTTTGTTTTTTCTCAACAAAGCAGCATTCCAGACACATAAAACCTTAAAGAAGCTTTGGTCCAAGATGTTTGCTATCTCTCTAGATATTAGTCAAATCCAGCTGAGCTTTGATGCTTTTTTGTCGCCGATAAACATGAAAACAGATCCCTAATTGAAAGGTCACACGTTTAAACATGAGTGTGTGTGAGAGAAAACATTGACTGCGTCATTTCCGCAGCATCGCAGGTCATGTAAATGTTTACTCTGTGGAAGCTTTAATGACAGGGTAAGTCATGGTCAGCATCCCAGATGCAGGAATGTAAAGCTGCAAACACAAACATGCCCTGCAGCAGCATCAGAGGAACAGCCTTCACCCTGACAGCGACAGCATCCTGCTGCAGAAGGCACTATTCAAGCCTCGGCTCTGGCAGTTTGAGGGGGAAAGAAAATCAAATCTCAAGTGCTCTGGATAATTTTGTGTGAAGCCTACAGCCTTCTACATAACACCAAGTCTTTGTCAGCAGTGATGGTGATTTCAAGCGACACAGGCCTTTCAAATGTAGCCCAGTGGAAAGCTTCTGCAGCGACCGAAGCGCTCACAAATCACTTTAGTGTAAATGTGCAATAATATTTAAATGGATCTTATTATGCCAATTTTCTCTTATACAACAGAGAAATCCTTGAATTTCTCATATTTTTGAAAATTGGTTATTCTCAGAAAGGAAAAGAAAGGTTAATGCTTTCAGACTTGTGTCTCGCTGGGCAGCTCCAAGGCAGAACTACAGATCACAGAGTAAGAGGCAGAAATCCCCCTACGGTGCAATAATAGCTGGCAGGGCCACACAGTCACGTCACGGAGGGAGAAAATTCAATATGGCTTCACAGTGGTCTCTTATTTCTATTCAAATGTGACGTTACTGGATTCATGGGAGCAACGCCTTGTGCATTCAGATGACTGATCCTTTGTCTAAGCCTCTCACTCTCACACTTTCCCTCACTTAAACCAGAAAGAGGAAATTACCATGATAAGTTTCATTGTCCTTGGTTCATGTTATGGAAACTGTCATTTCCGTGGTTCCTGCTATTAGCATCGTATCAAAAGTATAAATGTATACAGATACAGGCTTGAACATGACTGATAGAGCAGTTTTTCATCACCTGAGATGAGATGGCTCACAGCTGGAAGTGATTTAGCTTTACTAAGATTTGACGTTTCCGTTAGCAAAGTGTCCCATTAACCAAATGATGGGTTTTATTAGAACTCATATAGTTTTATCTAGGTGAATGACCTGTATTTATATAATGTCTTCTAGGGTTCTACAACCCCCCAAGGCATTTTATAACACAACAATCATTCACCCATTCACACACAGATTAACACGCCGGTGGTCATGAGCTACATTGAAGCCACAGCTGCCCTACAAGCACACTGATGGAAGCCAGGCCGCTTTACGCCGGCACCACCGGTCTCTCTGAGCACCACCAGCAGGAAAGGAGGGTGAAGTATCTTGCCCAAGGACACAACTAATGCAACAGACTGAGGCTTGAGCCTGCAACACTCCGGTTATGGGGCGGGCATCTAACTCCGCTGCCACCATTGCCCCTACAGATCATGTTAATGATGCTTTTAGCCCAAAAATAAAGCAATCTCAGCAATTTTATTCTAGACAGTTTCAGTACCTTCCACAAAAGGCTGGTTCAGGGCTCTGTAACTTAAAGAAAACAAACTTGTGCTGGCCACGCCCACTCATACCCCACTCAAGCTGCTATAAGCTGAAAAGCTCTGATATCCACGAGGAGCTCAGAATAAAGCCACTGCTCTTCCAGTTGAAGAGGTGAGAGGGTTTTTTTTTAAGTGAATCTCTCTGTTTGTGACATCACAAACAGGGACTTTTGAAACCGCTTGTTTTAGGCAATTATAACCCCTGTGACAGAAAACAGGTGGACAGGTTAATTCATTATTGGAGTGGTTACAGAGGCCGTAGAAATCCACGATACCACAAGACGATTAAAAAAGTATTTTTTTTTACTAATATGTCCCTTTTAAAATGTTGCCACAAAGTG